ATAGAACACAGTTTGAGAGCCTCTGCTTTAATGTATTTTTATACTGTATTCCTCATGATTAAAGTGCCTTAATATTCTTAAAATGTATTAAGCCCAAATCTGTGATCCATGTTTCCTTGACATGAACACTTACATACAATTTTGATTCAAATAGTATCTCCTTAGCATATTGGATCAAATTGTAAAAGTAGTTGCCGGTGTACTGTATACTGTACATAAGCCTGAGCATCCTTAAGCTGGACGCAGCCCTAGATAGGGCCTGAATCAAAATACACATCTGAATTGCAGATTGAACCCATCTTTCTAATGGGCTGAACACTCCAAACTTTGGGAAAGATCAGATTTGGATCCAGAGTCTGAACCTACACATCTAGCAGCATCCAGGTCTGGGGTTTGTCTCATCCCATTATATAGATGAAGTTCCAGGATCATATTTATACAAAAGGGGTGGAAAGCTGACTATATACATGTATCTCAGGGTATGTCTACACTACGGGATTAATCCGAATTTATATAATTCGAATTTTGGAAACAGATTGTATAAAGTCGAATGTATGCGGCCACACTAAGCACATTAATTTGGTGGTGTGCGTCCATGTACCAGGGCTAGTGTCGATTTCCAGAGTGTTGCAGTGTGAGTAGCTATCCCATAGTTCCCGCAGTGTCCCCCGCCCATTGGAATTCTGGGTTGAGATCCCAGTGCCTGATGGGGCAAAAACATTGTTGCAGGTGGTTCTGGGTACAGCCTCACTCCTCCTTCCATGAAAGCAATGGCAGACAACCATTTCTCACCTTTTTTCCTGGGTGAACACTGCATGAACATTGTAAACACCTCGCGCGTTCTCGTGCAGTTTATGCTGAGCCAGGACCAGAAAAACGAGGCGAGGAGGCGGTAGCGCAGCGACAAGCATGACATGGACATGGACACAGAATTCTCTCAAACCGCGGGCCCCGGTGCTTTGGAGATCATGTTGTTAACGGGGCAGGTTCTATCCATGGAACGCCGATTCTCGGCCCAGGAAACAAGCACAGACTGGTGGGACCGCATAGTGTTGCAGGTGTGGGACGATTCCCAGTGGCTGCGAAACTTTCGCATGCGTAAGGGCACTTTCATGGATCTTTGTAACTTGCTGTCCCCTGCCTTGAAACGCCAGAATACCAAGATGAGAGCAGCCCTCACAGTTGAGAAGCGAGTGGCGATAGCCCTGTGGAAGCTTGCAACGCCAGACAGCTACCGGTCAGTCGGGAATCAATTTGGAATGGGCAAATCTACTGTGGGGGCTGCTGTGATGCAAGTAGCCAAAGCAATCACTCAGGTGCTGCTACGAAAGGTAGTGACTCTTGGAAATGTGCAGGTCATAGTGGATGGCTTTGCTGCAATGGGATTCCCTAACTGTGGTGGAGCGATAGATGGAACCCATATCCCTATCTTGGCACCTAAGCACCAGGGTACCCAGTACATAAATCGCAAGGGGTACTTTCAATGGTGCTGT